TTCTGGTATATTCTCTTCGATCCAACCTTTCACATCCTCTCTAAAAGTTGTAATTTTAAAAACTGATAAATTTGTTAATTTAGGCAATTGCTTTAACAACGTTAATAGATCGTCATGTGTACGAATTTCACATTTTAATCGTTTAAGATTTGAGAATTTTTCCCAAATTGGTTTTAGTAAATTGAAACTTTGTCCATAAAAAAGATCTTCTCGAATAGTAAGTTCAGTAATCCTTTTATCGAAATATTGACATAACTGATCGTCCTTTAGTAATATTAATAAATCAGTACTATAGACTGATATGGCTGATAAATGCGAAGCTGTCTCGAATATTTCAATGAGAATTGATGATAAATCCTTTCCAGAAGTATTTTCAATATTCAAACGTTGAATAGAAGATAGATTGATAAATTTTTTTATCCATTCCATCAAATTCAGTACAAATGAATCATAATCAAACTCGAGAGAAATGAATAATTGTCGATCAAATGTTAACGAATGAAGATTTGAAAAAAAAGTATTCAGATGATTGAGTATAACACTTGAACCTAACGTTAAATACATAATATGATCCATTGACAAATAATTTTGAGAAAACTTTGTATGAGATGTTATTTTACAATCATATTTCATACAAGGCAAAGTAAACACTATAATATGATCAATCTCTAATTGATAAGCGATATTCCAATGATGTTGTTTAGTCCAAAAATCATTTTCAAAATTTTTTATCATATTAAAACCAATAGTATTTAACCAATCATTTATGTTTTCATCGTACAATGTTATTGAGAAATAAAATTTGAAAATACGTAGATGAGATAATGATGATGAGATCAAATTTTGCCAAGATAAAGCATCTAATAAATCTTCATCACCGGAAGCAACCGATAATGTTAATATTTTTAAATTCGGTAATTTTTCTAAAAGATTTTTTATCTTTTCAAAATTCGAATCATTATATATGTGTAAAATAAGATGGTTTAAGCACAATGTCTTTTTCAATATATTCTGTAACCTACTTGACATTAAAGAGAGATTAGTAATCTCTAAATATTTCAACATTGACGTATTTTGTATCACTTCATAATACTCGTCATCATTGCAATTTGTTATGGTCACATGTGTTAATGTATTTAATGTCATTTGTCGAGTAAGAAATGGCCATTCATAGAAATTTTCAAGTACTAATCGTCGTAAATTGGGCAACGATAGAGTGAAAGAGTTTAAAATGCTGTTACTTTTTAAATTATAGGCAAAATAAGATAGATTTGACAAGGATAATAATGCATATTCTAATGTCTGTATTTCATCGGGTTTTACATTGATTAAAATCAATGAACGAAGATGATCGAATTCATCGAGTGAGAATTGAGAAAAGAAACATCCAATTTGACCACATGTTTCATTTTTATTGGATAATTGTAATGAGTAAATATTTCTTTTAATTTGTAATTTTATATGAAGTTGAGAACAAAATTGATCAAATATTCTTTTTCGCACATCTTGACAATAAACTGATAATGGTATATTTTCAATTAATTGTTGAAATCGATTATTTAAATTGTCGAATGCATAGAATAAATCAGGAGCATTAAGATAAATAAAACATTCGAGTACGATTTCGTTAGGTAATAATTCAAATATCATCATAATAAAATCACCTTGTGATACACTTCCTTCACATGTATTTTGAAATAATAATCGTTATACAAATCAGTGATGCATATCAAATAGAAAGGAAAGAAAAACACGGCAAATTCTGATGATTTGTCACATAGTGCTCGTTTTCTTCTTCTGTAAAAACAGATTAAGTGGAAGTTTTATAGTTTTCTTCCATCCGTGTACCATCATTTAAATACTTTGGAAATAAATTCCAATTAAAACTATCTTTAAAATCAACTTCTAATCGAATAACTCGATCAAAAATTGTTTCAATAAATGATAAATCATTTTTATTCTCAATCTTAACAGATAGCTTATTGAATGATTGAATAAGATTATTAAATCGTTGATTAATCTCCCAGAAAACTTTGTATAAATCTTGTATACACATGTAATCGATTATATATCGACTAATATTTCATTAGCGAATTGTTCAAATTGAATAGACACATGTGCTTATTCGAAGAAGAAAAAATTTACAATTATAGTAAAGTCTTAATTTTGTCGATTTGATTATATTAAAAGAATGTTTTTCTATGATATTACATCGATGTTACAGTGTTGAAAGTGACATGGTCTTCGTTTCAATTAGAGAAACATCTCTGTAGAATGATGAATTTTATAATAATTTATTTATTAATAAAAAAGAAAAAGTTAGAAATATAAGCAGAAAAGTTCGAAGTATATTAAAGATAAATAATCTTTATTATTTTTCATAAGAGACTAAATATCATTATCGTCTTGATATCATAAAAGTTCATAATTTCATTAATATTCTCTTCTCTTCTAATAAAGTGTTATCATCTAACACTTGTTTTAACCATATTTTCTTAATATCTAAATGTGTTTCAAGTCCAATGTACTTTCTTTATAATATCATTCTTTTCTTCCAATTCACAAAATGTTATCCAACATTTTTCTAAAGTTATCTTGTAATTTTTTGCCAATTGACGTTTATTATTCTCAACACGAATTTTTGTCCAACATTCGATTTGTTTGCGGTACTAGACCAGCTTCATATATATTAAATTTATCATTATTTCCTCGAACATTTTTTACTTCTCTTTCAATGCTAATTTATCGCATTGATTGAAACAAAAAAGTACATTTACATCTTTTTTAGTTAATTGTTGAACACTTTTAACAACATATCCTTCTCCTCCAATATCATTTCCATCTTGTTCTGTATTTAAAACAACAATAATTGCATTGACAAATACGTGTTTACAAGTAAAACAGTTTCGAACAGAATCAAATAGGAAAATCAACAACTCGAAAATGATCATTTACACAATACTTTGAAGATCTTTAGTTTGATTTTTCTTATCTGGATATGTATTAAATCCGAATATATTTTGTAAAAAAGTTGATTTACCACTTTTTCCTGGACTAATAACTCAAACTGCAAAATCTTCTGATAATAATCGTCGCATTTGAAAATTTGCATTAACACATTTTATGATCGATAAACAATAAAACTGTTTTTCACGATTTTATAAGTTATTCAAAACATTTTCAGGTAACTCTCTTAATCTCATCTCATATACTGAACTAATTTTCTCTTCTAAACAACATTGATACATTCTTACTCGATCTATCATAACACCTGATAATTCAACAACAAGAATAAGATTTTGCATATATTCTCTTTATTATTATCGAAGACGATGGCATCAATTGCTTTCATTACTAGATATTCTAACGGAAACAAAGGGAAAATCAAACCTAACATTCTAAGAATTTTGATTGAGACGTCGTCAATCTGACTCTATGAATTATCGAGAACTTCGAACGTTAATGTAAAATCCTTTGTTAAAGCTATATTCATAATAAATAGCCGTGGAATGATTTGGACATCTTTTCAGACATCCAGCAGTTTTTCACTCGATCATTCGCACTTGGTCTCTCGAAAAGGTTTTGATTTAGAAATTGAGTTGGCTCTTTCAGATTAATACTAATTATGACATTGTATTTTAGTACGAGATTAATTTCGTACAATGTAATCGAGTGTGCTCTCGACCATGCTGGTTATCATAGCTTTAATTTAATCAAATATAATCGGCGGACGTCGTTGAAATAAAAAATCTCAGTCATCAGAACTCCAACGGCGAGAAAAATTGAATTTCCAAAAACTTGTATAGCGAGTTGAGTTACTGGCAGTTGAGTTGGTTGTGCAGTAGACTTAGGGTAAATTATTTTTTCGTTGCATACATAGAGTGATGATTAACGGATTAAAATATGCAATATTGACTGCATAGGCAATTTAAAAGGACGTGTTCATAAACTGAAGTGGATTTGGAATGACAAATTTCAATGCAAAGCATGAACTTCGGGTAGTGTGGGTGAAGGATGAAGAAAAACAATAGTTATAAGGATTGGTTGTGTAGCTTTAGTTACTTATTTAATTGTAAAGATTAATTATATGTTAACTGTTGTTCGACTTCATGTGTCTATATAATCGTTCGGGATAACGAACGTTTTCATATGATAAAAATGTGAACAGAAGGCAAATTTATTACAAAACCCTGTTGTTCTTTTACCGTTAACCATAATTAACACTAACTTTTATCTTTTGACAATGCGCCTTTGAAATTAAAATTAAATCTATTAAATACAACTGATAACGACGCCTCTCTCAAACTACATAGAACTATTTTTTAGTCAGAAAACAAAGCTTCGACAAAATTTATCTTCACCTTATGTTCTAAAATTTTTCCTTTCTCCAAAGAGCTTTTGTAGATAAACAGTCAATCAAAGAGAAAAACCTTTGACTTCGAAATCATCAACTCTCATACATCTCCATATTAAAATTATTTAAAAATCTATGGCACCAGGTCATTCAACATATCAAGGATCTAATTATGCACTTTCTTTTGGTGCTATTATAACCTCGTTAATCCTTATTGCTGTATTATGGAAAGCACGTGCAGGAATCTTCAAATTGATGATTAAGAAAATGTTTTCTATGAAATATACTTGGTCCGAAGGTTTGGAACAAACAGCAACATTAGATATATTCGGAGAAAAATTTGTATTGAAAAATAGAAAACAATGTTGTTTTGTAGTTCCTCGTGTCTGTCTTTGGCTTATGATAGGTGTTGTGATAGGAGTAACATTGATGGTTTTTATCGATGGTTTAATCTTAAATGTTATTTATCTTCCTTCGAATGAAAAATGTCCCGATGATGGTGATATGGATTGTTATTCAACGAAACAGGCACGATATTTCTATTGTAATTCATCTGATATTTTAGTTCCTGATTCAATGGGAACTTCCATTTGTTATCGATGGTTTAAAAGAGGAATATCAACATTAGAAGTTCTCGAACAAATTGGATTGTGTACTGGTCTTTTCGAAGTATTTAGTTGGGGAGTTGGACTCTACTTACGTTGGTTACTTTTTGCTTATAAATTTCCTGATCCAGCAAATGCAGCAAATTATGCACATCCCTATTTGGCATTGATTTCCACTAGTGTATCATTTGCCATTCCAATTGTTATATTGATAGTTCTTACAGTGTATTATATAAGTATAACAGGATTAACAATAGCAGTTATCATTGGTTTGTTATTTATTGTAGTACCAATGCAAGTTTTAGTTTGGAGTTGGAGACGAAATAAAAGATTAACGATTATGACAGAACTCGAATTTAATCGAATGGGCGTTGCAACTGTTGAAAAACAACAAACAACAATCGAAATCCAATAGAAAAGATCAACAAATTCAGCATAAAAGAGACAGTTTTTTATGACTTTTTTTTTGTAATTGACTCATTTATTCGAACAAAGACAAATATAATATATTTTCATCATAGGTTACATTTGTCGCGTATATCTATATAAAAATGTCCCAATCTCTTTGTTTTCTCTCAGTCTCTGCATGAAATCAAATTGATCAGATTTTTCGTCGCACTACAATGAAAAACTTTCTTGCCTTTTTCAAAATTACCTCTTTTACAATTGAACTACGTAGTTTCACGTCTACTCTGTCTGAGAATCTTCATATTAAATCATTTTTCATTCTCATATGATCTTGTTTTTAAATAAAAATACAGTTTCTAATTTTCTCCTATGATTCTTCACGTATGTTTCATTCAAAGTAGAATAATTATAGGAATATTTCATATTCTCATAAATAAAATCATCAAAAAAAGAACTAGAGCACAATTTATTAATTTACATAGTTTCAGTTTTTCAAAATATTGCATGTTCAAATGCATTCTCCACGTAAGTACGAGATTAGATCGTAGTGTGCGAAACGACTATAGACAAAACTATTATATGAATGAGAAAACAAAAGATTGAGAGTATCAGAATCAACATTCTTTTATATCCTATATATGAACTTTAACAAATGAATGTAGTTATGCAAATATAGTTTTTTTTTCTTTTTTGAAAATACATGAAGTATCAACATATTTACTGTAAAATAGTACAAGATGATTATATTATGAATTTCCACTTCATTTATGATAAATTTAGTCGATTTATAAATGAACAACCTGCACAATAAGGTTAAGAGAAACTAAGAAAATCTTTTTCTAGTATTGTCCAATGAATTGGTAAACAACTCTTTGCACTCAATTGGTTCGAATCAAATACAAATGATTTTGAAACAGTATGATATGAACGTTTAACTACTCGTATTTATCTTTGTTTAATGATAATTATGTGTGATGTTACACTGATTTTGAATTTCGAACATTTATTTGAAAATTTCGATGTTCTTGTTAACAAATAGCGATTCCTTACAAAATATTTAGAAGAGTTCAAGTACAATTTCATTCAATATGTTCAAATCCTTTTGTTTTATCTGTTTGATTGGATTCGATTAGTTTATACAGCTAATGTTACTTATATTCGGTCAACGGATATGCGTACTATAATAAATACATTTTGGCAATCAGCTTCTGGTTTTTGTTGAAATATAGATGAGATTGCGACAGAGTTAAATTCAGATTATAATACTTCAACAATGTTCAGTTCATAAGTAATTTCATCGATTGAAGTTGAAACACGAAAAAAAAACCGTCTCTTGAATTTCCTTTAACTTAAACATGGACAGTTGTATGAAACTATTTTGTTTTGTATCAATATGATATTTGAAATACGATAGGTATTTATAATAACTTGATTTTTAATATGAATATACCAGAAATGATGTTTGATTGTTATCCAATTGACACTGTACTTGCTTCAACATTACAATGTTATTTTACATCAAATTGGAATATTACACTTTTATCTTCACAATTTTATATTAATTCAACTATTCAAACATTATTTGTTTCGTATTATAAACATGTACAAATTATATTTATTCGCATTGGTTTGATCGAGTGTACTTTTTTAGTCAAAAACAAAAGCATTTCAATACAATTTTCATCACAAAATATATTCATTGATTTATACGAAAAGTACTATGATTTACTTCAATGTCAATGTTCGCAACTATCGATCAGTTACAGTGAATTTATTCAGAGTACATCTTCTTTTGTTTTGATACGAAATGTAACTGCACTCAATCAATTTGTAAATGTACCGTATTCTAATGAAATATTCGATATAAGATCAGATGATCAAATAATCATAAACAAAAGCAACTTGTTAATTTTTGAATTTTAATAATCCAACTTCTTTTGTCACGGTTTGTACTAGTCGCGCAAATACGACAATCACCTGGATATTTTCTGTGAGTAAATATCTGTATACAAGAATTTATATAATGCTCTCTTTGATATTCATATCGATACTGGTTATATTTACAAGTCTAACTCAATGGAATTGTACAAAATCTGTACCGAATCCTTCAATATAAGAATTGAACGATTAGAAATACTCTACAGCAATACTCTTCAATGTCCTTATTCGAAAATAATTCTCGATAATCGTTTGTTTATTACACAACTAGAAACAACTTTGCCTCCGGCGTGTATGAGTCATTTTATCAAGGGTCGTACTGTTTGGATCTATTGGCTTAGTGGAAGAGATTATGTCATAGACTGGGTACATTCAGCTGATTTTCGTCGATGGGGAAGTGCATTTTTCATGTTAGAAAACATCAATATAATGAGTGCTGTTAGGAACTTTCAATCGGAATCTTTTCTTGTTAATCAACCAATGATTCGTACTCAATTTGAAGATCAAATCAACTTACAAATTGGCCGATTATTAAATGATACATGTAATAGTTTTGTTCAAAAACAAGAATTCTATTAAGATATGATACACGGAAATGCTTTGATGGCATTTTATGCGACAAAATGGATCCTAATTTTCAAATAACATTACAATATAAGTAATAACACTATTCGTATTGAACCAATCACATACAATTTCTGATGTTCTTGTGTCACCTCACAGTCTTTTCTAAAGTCAGTTGGAATGCATTTATGGAATGGAACATTACTCTATGTAGTCGAAGGTGTTCAACATGATTATTCTTTACTTGAATCATATTTAGCATTATCTCTGCCCTGTTTAGTTTCATCTTTCGACCATTGTCAACGAGCTTTTTATCGATATTTGGTCAGTCAACACATTGTATGAATCGTTTTTTAACGAATGTGTTGCCCAATATTGTATTTATTCAATCGTACGACGTTTTGGATCTTCTCTATGTATTTACGATAAAAAGAATATGTAAAATGTTGTTAGTTTTAGAGATTTCTCTCTTTCCTTGGGTGAAATTAAGACAAACGATTCCATTTCATTCAAAATCTTCATGAAATTCTTTACTATGAATATAAATATTCGAATAAAATTTTATTGTAACATTGTTCATTCATATTTCAATAAATAACAAAAAGAAATAAATCGGAAACTTTCAAACACAAATCGTGCAAAGCAAATAAATACATTTTCTTTTCTGAATGAAAAGATTCTACAGCGATTAATTACTGCGCTCAAATATTTAAAATTTCATCAGAACTTCTTTGTTCAAATAAATTATTTATTTAAAAAACCATAAACTAAAACATTCTTGTTTATTTCTAAAACCAACTAGATAGAATTTTTATAGACACAGAACAGCAAGTCTATGGGACGGTACGGAATGGAACGAAAAAATCGCCGTTCTGTNAATCGACATGGATTGGATGATGGTGGTACAGTTGTTGTCGTTATCGTCGTCGTTGTTGTTGTTGTTGTTGTCGTTGTTGTTGAGGTTGCATCTTTATTCAATATAATTCAAATTAATATATTTCTTAAAATTTATTTACTTGCACATCCATTCCAACAAGCACATTTATGTGTTAAACGACAGGTATAACGTTTCAATGGATCTTCACCAAAAACTTGAAATTCTTCTTTTTCACTTGTTGAACATCGTAATTGAACAACAACTGTTCTGTCATCATGTGTATAAGTAATTGACGGATCAATACTCGTTCCATTCCCTGGATTCCATGTTGCAGTTTCTTGATCACCGATAACATACTGATATTGATCATTAATTGATGCTAAATATCATATTACGAGTTTAGAAAAGAAAAAGAACGAATAAAACTATCTGGATATTTACTTTGACAAACAGCTGTATTTATACAAACAGATCCTTCAGAGAATGGTTTACATGGATTATAACTATATTCTATATAATTAGAAAATATTATCTATAATATATATATGTAAACAAAAGATAGAATTAACATACTGTAACTAGATGGTATTAATGGTAATCTGTCTGCATAGGCAGCTTTACCATCTGATCGTCCCAAAGAAGTTATATCAATTACACCTTTTTCAGGATATTCGAATCGACATGGATCAGATGTACAAATCGTTGAATATAAGAGAATTAAAAAAGTAATCAAGATTGTTGTTCCAATCATCATTATTGTTGTAACAAAATTTTCCTTTGAAATAGAATGACACCGATATACAAGAAAAGAATCTCCAGTGAGATAAATATACTTGATTATTTTATACACTCTAATGTTAGTTAAAGTATTTTTGCGCATTTATCTACATTCTTTTATATGTGATGGGTAAATTTTTCTTTTCTTTATTAAAATTTATTATCTGAGGTGAAAATGAAAAGTACTGATAAAGATGACAAACATGGTGATGTTGATGTGTCGTAAGTTGCTTTAAACTGGAACATTTTTGCGTTTTGGCCTATTTAATTCTCAACACAATTCCAACATTTTATTCATTCGATATGGTACATGGAAAATAGTCAATTATTCGTAGAGATACACAAATATAAATTCCATTGTAGAGCGTTTTCTAAGTAATTTTTGTTTGTCAAATACATTATCATTCAATTTCATTGATCATATTTCTTGAAATCTTTTTATTATTCAATTTGGTAAGAGATCATTGCAATATATTTAAGTAGAGAATTCAGCATTCTTAATAACCAAACAAACAACACATATGTGAAAGTGTTGACAATGTTTTTACTCTTTTATCTTAGAAAAGAAAAGAACGCTTTATTGAATATAAGTTTTCATGTGAATTCTCAAATATTTTCTTCATTGAGAACATTTATCCCAATAACTTCTTAATCAATTTCGATTTGAATCACAAGAACAAATTCAGTAAATGGGATCAAAACAGAAGAAATTTAATGAGGAGGAAATCAATTTCCACTCTTTCAAAAAATTTTCATTGAAAATATTCCATGGTCGAATTTAACAATGGATAAATATGCATTTCTTTATGTTTGTGATGATGAGTTAGAGAAGAAAAAAGAAAATCGAGTCAATTAAATTGGATTTTAAAAAAAATATTTGTTGATGAACAAAATAATCAATTTATGTTTGAGATCGTTTAAAACCATCGTATAAGGCAATGAACACAAATTGTAAAAGAAATTATTGTTGCAAATGGAAGTAGGAAGGAAAACGGATAAGATCAATTGTCTTTTCCATTATGGTATATCATTTAATGTTCAAGAAAATCTTTATATTGATGATTTTGAAAATTCACGATATAAAAAGTTTTATTTAATTTCAGGAATATATTAAACGAGCAGGAAAAAAGTACAAATCTCTAAAGTAGTGTTAATAAAGAGAACGAGCATAAAGATATTTATTTGAGAAATATCATGGAATATGATCTAACAAACAATTGAAGAAATAAACTAATCAACACATTTGAAAATACGATGAATATTGAGGAATTTTTCATAAAAACTAAATTAATAAAGAATAAGTTTTATTGAGAAATTTCAAAATAAAAATTAAATTGTTGACTTTTACTTTTCTGTCGAACATACAGTGTACGACAAAAGTTTAAGCGATTTCGGTTTTTTCGCATTTTTCTGCATTTTCATTTTTTTTCTTATAGTAAGGGATATTAATTTGATTCAAACGTTGTTCTAGATAGTATGTAAGACCTACTATATGATGTATTGAAAGCGGACTTGGCTTTAGTCTTTATAGATCTTTTATGGTGAAAATGATTTTTTCTGTGACGATACAGGTTTTTTAGCTGTGTAGTATTTTGCATTTCCCAACCAAGAGATTTTCGCCAATTTAAAAACAAAATATACCAATCGATAAAGAATTTGAAGCTCTATCGATTGCTAAAAAAAGAAATTTTCTCAAACTGTACACTTCTCCTGGAAACACTATTTTACGAAAAACACCTGGAAACTACGAAATTCTTTGATTTTCCAAATTCTACTGTATCGTGATATACTACATAAAAGAAGTTAGAGAGGTAACATTAAGAAAACATGTAATTGTGTGGAAAGTTAAGTCCCTAAGAAATCTACTGTGAACATGATAAATTGGTAAAATGAGAACGATATAAGGTTACTCTTCCAGTAGTATATCAAAGACAAAAGTTTACAAACATTTTTTTCTTCTTCTTTTATAGCATAAAATTAAAAATAATATCAGATAAAATGACCACCTCTAGCTTTTATGCATTTCTCAATACGTGTTGGTATAGTATCGATTAGCGAGCGGCATAAGTCAGCTGTTATTTTTTCCCATTCGGTTTGTAAACATTGTTGTAGTTCTGTTTTGTTATTGATTGGCTTTGACTGCAATCTTTTGTCGAGAATATTCCACAATTCCTCAATGACACTGAGGTCTGGACTCTTAGGAGCCCAGTCTAGCAATTTAATCTTCAATTTCTTGATTTGTTCTTTAACCATTTTACTTGTGTGCCAAGGCGCCAAATCCTGTTGAAATGTAAACTTGTGTCTGTTTGGTAATTTTTTCATTGATGGAATCAGTTGATTCTTCAATACTTCGCAATACTTGGTCGAATTCATATTATCAGAATAAAACAATGCTGTTGTTGTGCCATAGCCACAAATACCACCCCAAATTCCTACTTTTCCACCATTACCTGTGTTCATCTGCTGGATACAATCATAGTTAAGTTTTTCGGCATCTGTACGCCACACCATAACTTTATTCTTCCGTTTTAGAACATAATAAGTTGTTTCATCACTGAATATGACATGGCGCCAATCTTGAACTGTATAAGATCTAAACTTTTTGCACCAAAGAAGTCTTTGTACCTTATGACATTTCTTTAAAAATGGTTTTTTGATCTTTGCTGCATATTTATAACCAAGTTTGTGAAGATGTCGTTGAACTGTTCTTGCAGAGACGCGTTGAGGCAGCGACTCGTTCAGGTTTTGTGTAATAAGATTGGAATTTGCTCGATCTCCACCTTTTGTTAGACGTTTGATGTATCGATCACCTCTTTTTGTAATTTTCATTGGTCGACCAGTTCGTGGTCGATCTTTGTAAGTTCCATAAGTAGAATAGCGTTTCACAGCATTTTTTGCACAAGTCCATGAGATATTGAGCTGATCAGCAATCTTAGAGATTTTAAACCCAGCATCAAACAAGGCAACTGCCTGAGCACGTTTGGTTTCGTTGATTGATTTCCTGCCCATTCTGTCGTTTCAATGGAACAAATACCTAGTAAAACAAATCCGTTCTTATCCGTTTAGATTTATATACCAATCCTTGAAATACCACTGAAATGATTTCATTGGAAAAAGAACTGATAAATAGCGACATCAGAAAACCAAAGCTAATGTTCAAAATGAGTCAACATTTGCTGCAAAGAAATTTCGCTCTGGATTGAGGTAATCAGCTGTAAAAGTTCTAGCAGATCCTCTCCATCGAAGTAAAAGAAAAGCAATACGTAGTATTGTAGCGGAATTTGGAAAATCAAAGAATTTCGTAGTTTCCAGGTGTTTTTCGTAAAATAGTGTTTCCAGGAGAAGTGTACAGTTTGAGAAAATTTCTTTTTTTAGCAATCGATAGAGCTTCAAATTCTTTATCGATTGGTAT